ATTACTTAAGTATATATAATAAGCAAATTATATAAATAAGTAAATTATATAAAAATCTTAACCTTTTTCAAATAAAATATCTTTAATTAATTAAAGTTAGTTATTATACTTATTTCTAAAGGCCTTAATACTCCTTTAATAAGCTTTTATATTATAAGTCCTATTATATAAAGTATATTATATAGTTTTATAACTTATTATAGTCTTAATTTAAGGTCTGCCTTATAGGCCTAAGGTATATATTATATATAAGCTTACTTTTAAGTAGGATTTATATTAATTAATTATATATTAATTAATTAAATAGTGTATGGCTTGAGGCTACCTCACGGTACTCAATGAATCAGTTTCTACAGCATGGTTTCGAGCTGGTAGAAGATATTTAGGTCGGTGAGGGCAAAGTTAATAGCCAGGGGAAGAAGGAGGCCGGCGGCGATGGGGTTCTGATCGCTTGTATGATCTGGTGGCCAGAAAGAATGAAGGAGACGTTTGCAAACAAGAGTTAAAGGACTCTAAAAATTGTTGGACATTACATGATGGTAGTATAGTATCAGCTCTGATGCCGGCCTTACTCGATCAGACGCCAACGTATGCTACCCTAGTTAATATTTCCAGCTTCTTGAGAGTGAGCTAGGAAACCAAGAATGCCGATGACAGCAGGCTAGGAAGAACAAACTAGGAAAGATTAGCACGTCCAAACGAGTATCCCATATCTCTGGTGACTATTAGGTTAACTACCTACTTTTCTTTTTCTTTTTTTTTTTTTTTTTTTGGACAAATTGAATCTAGCATACATTCTTAACTTCCTAGCTGAGAAATCTAATATTAGGGATTCTAGAAAGACTATTTGATTGCTGATGGACTGGTTTAGTCGAGTTTACAATGCGTTTGAGGAGAAGGTCCTATTCAAGAGGGGTGACTAGGTATAGGCGAGGTAGCAACAATTTGACTTGTCTTATAGCAATCGTGCAGACCGTATCCGTAGTGTCTGTCGCCCGCCTTGACAGGTGCCCTTCTGCTCAATAATAACCAAATAGTTTTGCCATTTGCACCGATTGCAGCTGTACGTAGAGCACTTCCGCCTTCTGATATTTGCATCTCTATCCGCTTACAAGATGGTTGGCACTGATTGAGCATTTCCGAGTATAGCTGCCAGCCGGGGGGCTTGCAATTGTCCTCATTAATAGCGTCCCAGTATTTATCACTCTCGCCCTGAAATGCCTCCAGCTTCATACATCCACCACTCAATCATGGGTTGAATGGTATTTAGGCTGTTTCTGATACCACTCTCCTCGTCTATCAGAATACAGATTTCACGGGATCCTTTTTGACAACGCTGTGCGACCCATTTGCGTCGGCAATGATAGTGTCACAGTCTTCCTGCACGTGGTCTAGCGGAGAGATCTAGAATCTCTCCGCTGCTTGAGACACGCATACTCATCGAGGCAGCAATCCGCATTGTCTTGTATGTTATACCATAGTTTCTTTGCCATTTTAAGAAAGAGTTTCAGCTATAGCACCCATGTCCTACTTGAGAAGCAATCCAAAGGACAGAACAGTACTGTCAGTCTATCTATCGTAAGCAGCAAAAAGACCACATAAAGCCTCAAGATGGCGGTTAATGAAGAAGCCCAGCTAGGTCAGGATATCCAGCCACACATCGTCTGGCCGTAGGATCAGGTAGGAGTAGTGATTGTACCTTTTAAGCACACCAGAACAAACCCGTTAGTCAAGTTGGTAATGTCGTCTTCAAAGTCATCAAATGATAATTGGGTAATAGATTTGGCTTTAGCGTCCCCCTTAGGACATATGTCCATAAATTAGAACCGCCAGTCAGTTCTTGCAAAATCACATTTTCGTATAGGCCTAGGGTGGCTTCTCGACGGTCCGACCATAAGGGGCATTTTTATAATTAGTCTCTGTCTGCCGCTATTCTCATTTCGAGGACGAAGCTGTCTAATCTGCAGGTCGCCACGATGGTTCACAATGGCGTACAGTCAGGCTAGTAGTGCGTCGCGCACGGCGGTTTGTCGCGTTGAATGTGCTGAAAAGGGTGGAGGGCCAGATCTATTAAGTTGAATTTTTATTTCTGCATCAAATCCTTGCATGAAGCGGTATTAGAGAAATAGATTGCTTGTTTTCAAATCTCTCCAAGAAGGGAGAAACCCCTCTCCTGAATGCAAGAATAAGAATGTCCTAAGAAAGGTAGAGCCCATTCATGTCAGTGCAGTAGCAGTGTCTTGGTAAAATAAACCTTGTACCTCGTGGGTCTCTGGATATCAACACCGGGTGGCAAGGTAAACATCTCGGAGGACACAATAGAGACCAAAGACAAGAAATGAGCTCTTGGGTACTAGATTAACTATTAAGTATAAGAACGAACCTCATCTTGATTGGACATGTGCCTTCCGTATCTGACAATTCCTAGCCGCCGATTTAATTAAGAAGTTAAATACGGGATTAGGCAACACTGGACAAAGCTGGGTTCTATCAGCAAAAATCTTTAACTCTGCAGTGGACCTAGCAACCTGTAACAAGATGGGATTGTATAGAATATTTCTCTCAAAATCTGTTCAACTTATGCAAGGAGTCAAAATCTGAGACGCCAGGTCCCTCTGTACAACGTTCTACAATCTTTTGGTATCTCTAGCCTATTTGTCGCCATTGCTTCTCTGCAGCCCGCACATGGCTAGGAAGCATACGACACTGGGGAGGGGTTCCACCAAGTAAGCATGACTTACCGGAGATAGCAGGGGTATTATATTAAGGGTTAAAAGAGACGACTACGATTCACGGGCTCGCCTATTAAGGGTCTATTAAGTGGACAGCTTCTGTGCTTTTCCTGACAATTGGCGTGATAGAGGCTATGCGTTTAGTTATGCCAACTGCAAGCCACTGGCTCATATTAAGAGTCCCGTTAGTTCACAATAAGCGTTTCCCCACTGGAGCTGGTTTCCGTTAGAGTCTCGGGGCTACACAGTAATCGTATAATCCTCTCGGCATAAGAACAGCGAGAACCTAACCTTGCAGTCACTCTCAGTACCTCTAAATTTAGCCCCTTAACCTTCATTACCGCGGTGATGACCACAACAATTTCCCCGAAGGCATATCTCACCTCGACCTCCTCTACCGTCTTGGCCAGTTGCATTACAGCTGTGCCCGGTGTGCAAGGCTACATGCCATTCGACTCGAAGACCTGCAACTCCAGCCATCATTTTTACTCGAGCTTTACTGGTAACCTTACCTTTGCCATAGTCTTCGGATTAAGCGCCACTGCCCACTTGATCGAAGTTATCACGTTTAAATAGGTCTAATATCCATTCCCAGAATATTTAGGGAAGGGGACATTGCTAAGTAAAAGAAAGGAAATTCTGCTAGGTGGTTATTATAGGAGGGACATAGGAGGCTGGTGCATTCATTATGCAAATGCTCGGCTCCCGTGACCAACAAGAGGAACAGTTTGCCTTTTGGGGAATGCTTCTCTTTATTTCGGCACCACTCTGTTCTCATATTACCAATTCACAACTCAGATCCCGCTGCTAACCGTTAAACTAGGGGTGAATGCCTTTGTGTATATGACAGTCGCGTGTATGGTACATTTTAGGATGAATCCGTTGATAGATATTCTATGATGCTTGATGTCTGTTCTACTACGTAGCCATCGCATATAAGTTCACCGTATTATGATTCCTGACCATATCCCAGGTACCAAATTAGAAATTTAATAATAACTTTGCATGATAAGTCTCGGGGATATCTGTTCTGGCTTTAGAACTTCTAGTGATAAGTATGAAACAGAAAACAAGGGCTATGCTGACACTTGGTTCGCATGATCATAGTCGCAAGAAGGTCTAGGCTCTGGGAAAGAGCTGGGACGTGCCAACCTGGGGGTTCGTTGTGATAGGTGAATTACAGCGTATTTGAATGGAGCGTCCCAACCGTAGCTGGCTAGATTACGTATTTGCGCGAGGGGGGATCCCTGGCTGTGGTCTAGCGCCGTTCCATGGAAGCAGCCTCCTGATAGCGATGCGACGAGGAGCGGCCAGCATGTTGTAGTGGCGAGTATTTATACCTATCCATTGAGCCAGCATGTGCCCTTCCTGTGTACTACCTATACGGTTGTTTGATGGATATTCTTAGCCGCCCAGTTAACAGGCAGCTGACCCCTTCGTCAAGCTGATGAGTGCATATGGTCTTATAGGTATGGCCGCATTTACGAGTCCGTGTCGCATCCCTATTGCAGCAATGTAAAAAGTAAAGTCTTGAGTTTTCTGAAGCACGGCTCTTGTTGTAAATCAGTAGCTCGCGGTCAAAACGAAAGCAAGGACCGGGCATGGCGTAATAGGCAGCTCTATTGTGGATATTTTCTCAGCTGGGAATTCTCCATGAGGCTCTCCTGGGCTTCTTGCTTCCTTGGGGATAAGTTGACGGATCCTTCTAGACCTGCTTGAAACAAGGTTTCATCGTTCCGTTTCTGCAGTCTCGTAGGTACTCATATCGTGTTCTTTGATGTTTAGTTAAAATTGCGGCTTTGTGAAGGGGAAGCCTCCAACACATGCCAATAGCACACTCGGTGAAGTAAACTGTTATAGTGAGGTTCTTCGGTCCTTCTACAGGAACATGGGAAAGCCGAAAAACCTACGTGGCCCTTGAGATTACTCCGAATCTCTTCTTTAATTATCGAAATAACTTGTAAGCTAATCCTGGAATACATTAGTCACATATATTGATATCAACGACGCGTTTTAGTTTGATAGGCCATAATCCTGGGTCCCTCAGCCACGATACTTGTGAATCATGAACATAAACATTATTACGGCTACACGCAAACACGACCCATTTCAGGCGTATTTTGCCTAGTTCTATCTTACCTATGAGTATATGGCGCATGGCATCATGCTGGCATGGAGTCAAACACGGTTATTCTTCACTTTTGCCTCCTGACTTTCGAGTTATCTGATCAACATATAAGTGGCATTAGTGGTGTATAAATATACACCATGCTACAACTTCGGAACCGCATCGCAAGCCTCACGATAGGTTCCTTCACCTTCTGGGGTGTAACTGCCCAGTTGAACGTTCGCATTCCGCTTACCAGGGAGGTCGACAATTTTGCGACAGAGGCGTTGGATAATTGGAAAGTCGCAGGTTTATCCATTGCTGTTGATCGATGGCAAAGAAGTCTTCGCAAATGTATGCACTTGACTCCCCTACGCTATGCGTCATCGACTTAATTTCATGAGTAAGGACGATACTAATACGATATAGGGATACGGCTTTGCGGCATTGCCTGATAAGTCAGTCACACCGGAAACGCTTTGGTACACCGCTTCGACTACAAAGGCACAGACGTCCCCTACTCTAGCCCACCTGATCGACTCTGGAAACTACCCGGCTCTCGCCAACGGTTGGTCGACGACAATCTCCACAATCATTCATGACGATTCCGTGCTTCAGGACTCGTAGGCAACGGAGCATATCAGCTTGGACGATGCTATAAGCCATCGCACGGGGATGGCAGCTCACGATAAAGCCTACGAGGGGCTAGTGAAAGGAAAGAAAGCCAAGCCTAAAGATATTGTCCACAACTTAAGGAATCTACCTTTAACCACCGAACCATGGGTCAAGTACTCTTACACGAGTTTGACGTATACCACAATCTCACATGTTATTAAGATTATCACAGGCAAATGGCTTAGAGACGTGCTGAAAGAGCTGATCTGGGCGCCGCTGGATATGGACTCAACCCTTTTCGATCTCCAAGACGCAAGCCATGCCCCTAATCAACTTGCTTCGGGTTACTATTGGGACACAAAGGAAGGAAAATACGGTGAGGTTCCTTTCATGAACGTTACTGAGCTCAGCGGCGCCGGGGAAATTTTCTCAAATGTCCTCGACTTCGCTAAGTGGGTAAAATGCCTACTTCACGAGGCAGCTCCATTCTCCAAAGAGGTACACAGAGATATAAAGTCTTCAAGAATGATTGAACACACGCAGCTGGATGGCCCCAGCGACATGGTGACATATGGACTCGGCTGGCACCACAGCCTCTAAGGGGCATGTTATGTATTCTCACAGCGGAGGGGTGCACGCTTATGGAGCCCAAGTCTATTGGTTGCCTAGTATCAGGTATGGCGTCGTTGCGTTCGCGAACACGGCCCTTACTTCAAATGCCGTGGAGGAAATCCTGGCATGGAACTTGATCCAGGACCGACTTAAAATCCCAGAGAACGAGCGTTCTGATGTCAAGTCTAAGTCCGACACGCCTTCCACTGTCCTACGAAATATTTACTAATTAAGAGAGATGTAAAAAGATGAAGGAATTAGACCCTCCTGCAGATGAGGCTGTTGGTATTCTCTACCCTGAGCGTCCTCAGCCGCCGTTGCCGCCTACTCTGAACATTACGGAGTTGGAGGGCATATCCTACGACCCAGGGTATGGACGGATTACGTTACGGGAAGAACCTCACCCTGGTGGATCAGGTGAGAAAGCTTTTGTCGCAGACCGCCACGACGTGACGTGGAAGCACCAGATGAGGCTGCATCACGTTTCCGGTGACTATTGGATTATCTACCTGCCTGTTTTGGAGAATCCAGGGTATATAGTCGAGTTCGTGGCTGGGGAGTTCAAGATCGGGAGTAATGGAAAGGTGGCTGGACTGCAGGGGGGAACGAAGAGGCAATTATTGGCTGTTATTAGCCGTAACGTGGCATGTTGACCCGCATACTTTGTTAGTATCATATTGTCCTCCGGCAGACTGGCCGGCTCCGCGGAGATCCCTTAATCATGGGTAGATGGTATACTACCAATTTGACCTTGAAGAAGGAAACGTCTTACTGTATTACAAGTATCAACTATAGTCGAGACTTGTTTCTTTCCTTATATATTATATACCTATTTGTTGTTTTATAATTTGTAACAGAAAGTGTAGATGAAGTGGCAAAAGTAAATATTTTCTCGACCGATATTGCCTAACTATTTTTAAACTAGTACTGCCTAAAATGCAAAGCTGCAGTAATGAAAAACTAGTTATGCACTTTGCAAGCCATCTTTCTTATTACCTTTGTTGAGCTGAGGTGATGATCTGCAAGTTTGCAAGGGCAGCTCAATAACTGTCGTCTGTTCTGACGAGTCCTGAATGTTACTCATGGACCGATCCATGCTTGTTGACATGAGAGTGCGGCAGAGGATGTCTTTCTGTCGTTGTAGTCTGATGGTTGTTGAAAATGCAGATGTCTGCGGTTGACAATTCTTTCAAGTTGGGCTCTGATTGCAACAGCGTGTCCGCAATCAGAGAAATACACGATTCCAAGGAATCATTAGTGCGAGCACAGACTGTCGTCAACAAGTACTTGCATGCAAGATGCAGAGGCTTAGCAAGGTGATGTTAGGGGCCCAACAAAAGAAAGGTCGCCCAGCAATGGAATGTTCGAGTTTACTCACTCCACGACAGCCGCAGCTGACACCACTGGAGAACCTACCAGCCAGTTGGTGGAGGTGTGGGGTAAATGTGGAGAGCCTGGGACTGGTTTAGCCTAGAGAGTGGGCAGCATCAATGTAGGTTAAATACAACTGATTACTTGTTATGACACGATTCTCCGTGTGCAGACGGCATTGCTCTAGTCCAAACACATTCAAAACAAGCTTGTGGAGAAACCCGACGCATAAAGATTGGACCCCTTAGTTGTGTGGAACCCTAGCAACAACCAGAAAGCGGGACTTTCGCTCTTTAGTTGTACAGTACGGAACCATTTTATATATTTGCGACCCTTGTAACCTGTATTTTGTTTCTGGATGGGCTTGGCCCATCCCTCGTAACGGAGCCTGTCATAGGAGTAATCTGATTGGTTATTTCTGAGTTACGCCGAGATTACGAAGATTGGTGTCCATCTGTCTCATTCCTTATGCACAGTCATCGCGGCTTGTTAGACGAGACGTTAGCGAGACAAAATTTGACATCCCGTTGCCGTTTCTGCAGGTATGGTGTGCATTCTCGGTTCTCGGTTTGTTGAGACACCCCGACTGTCATAAAGTCAAATAAGACATCGGTTTCTTAGAGTGCAGATCTCGTTAAAGCTAGTCTTAACCCCGGTCGTCTAAGATTGCGATATATCGGCCACGAATATAATATTAAAATGATGGTGTATTGGGAGGAGTCAAGGCCTTTGGAAGTCTCCCCAAGGGCTTAAGGAACGGGATTTGAGGCATGTCGAATTTACACACCCTCCCTTGTGCATATTTCTTGGAGGCTTGGGACATGGAGGATACTAGTAGTCTACCATCGCCATGCAGGTGGCTTTACAAGTTTGGGAGAAGAGGGATACACTCGCACAAAGGCAGAACAAGAAAAATAGGATATTTAGTACCTCCTGCCCCGCCTGCCATCCTTTTTCAGTCGACTTTCCGCCTCCTCATACACAATGAACATGATCCAATCATTATCAACAGAGCCCGCGAAACCCAAGCGAAACAGTAAGTTGCCTCGTCTCTTTCTTTCATTTAATGCTATGGATCTCCGATATATTTTATTTAACAGAAGTAAAGGGAAGGAAAGCAGGGCAAGCTATTATGATCATACTAATATAGCGTTGTTTAGAAACCAGAAGGGTTTCTACCCTTACTCCTGAACAGCTCGCCCGCAAGAGAGCCAACGATCGAGAGGCCCAGAGGGCGATACGCGTCCGCACCAAAGAGTATATAGAGCGGCTAGAGCGCGAGCTAGCGGAGCTCAAGAGCAACCAAAGTCGTGATCAGACCATCCAGGATTTATTACGCCGAAATACGGCTATAGAGAGAGAGCTGATCCGAATCAAGGAGATTATGGGCGCGCCAGCGGCCTCGTTATCTTGCCATGAATCAGATCCAACTGCACGACAACTTTTATTTCCCGACAAGTTGTCAACAACAGCACCACAACCAACAACAACAACAACAACAACAACAGTTTGCAATGGCAACGTCAGCACTGGTAGCGCTGCCATTTCTAGCACTCACAGAGCACCATTCTCGGGGGACTACAACAGCCACCACGACTATAACCAACAATATATCCCCTTGTCTAACAACTGCGAATCCTTGGCGAGCACCATCTCCTGCGCCATCCCCTCCAACATCTCTACCTCCTCAACACCAGGCGACTATAGTGTTAGAAATATCCAGACCAGCATGACCACCTCGGTCCTTCCCTTCAGCAATACCAGCTCCTCAAATATTTGCACTATATATGATAAGGATGTCATCAAGGTAGAGTATATCGAGGTGGGCTATCTCGGCGCAATACCCCAAGCGCTTCATCAAAGTGATATGAGGTATGGCAAGTAGATCAGTCATAATGAATATCTAGAAGCCAAGTTCCTCGTCAATACTCCCCCGCTTTATCCCAACACCCCTTACTCTCAACCCTCCGTAATGCATCACTAGCAGTAGCTATCTGCCTGGAACATGTAAATAATGTACTATACTCAGCCACATTCGTTAGTTCAGTAAATTACCCCGGCAGTTGAAACTGGTGCGTATCCACATGGATGTCATCGACGTGTCGCGTTGACGATCTTCTGGTCAGCTTCGGCCATAACTAACGCCGGCAGACCCAGGAGACTAGGCTACGATGACCTGCCACATTATGGGATACGCATAACCCCGCTCTCTATGCTCTAATTCTATACCCCCATATGATGCTGCAAGCCACGAAGTATAAACCACTTCCAAGCTTAGGGTTACATCACCAAGAGACTCCCAGATAGCTGTCATGTAACTGGACAAACCTTGACATCCTAAGACAGTATAAATAAACCATTTGGGATTAGGTGATCGACCTGTATTCTGCAATTGTAATATTCAAGGCTAGTCTGTAAGATGGCATATTGTCATTGGTTCCGTCCTGGTATTAAATAGCCACTCACCGCCTGTCACGGGTGGACTTTGACCGCCGAGTGATCGTCGTAAGAGGGTCGGAGTAGGCCGGAGGCGAAGGCAGCCACTTTTCTTGCTTGCTAACAGTGACAGCTCTAGCAGTTTGACCAAATTAAAACCCCGGATGTTGTCCCTGTCGAAGATTACGACTGCAGCATATATACCGTTAACAAGTCATGTTTAGCATAGAGGATACAAGGGACATAAAGCTAACTCATGATGGTTGATGTTATGATTTTGTCTCATTGGAAATGCTACCCAAGGTCCAGGGGAACTCTTGACGCCCTGACTTCACACTTACAGGAAGACCTTCCTCCTTTTCATCTAAGATTAGATGAAAACTATGAAAAAGAGCGTTCTTTCTTAATTGTTGTTATTAAACTAGCTGTTGTAATAGAGTTTATTTTCCCCTTGATGATTGTAGTTCTCAGGAGATGGACTTACTACGTTCACAATAAACGAGGCGATGTTACCTTGTGGGTCAGGCTAGACAAGGAAAGGCCTAGGCCGCGAGTCCTTTCGCCATTAGACCGCGGTCTAGAACTCGCGATGGTACCGAGGTTTGAAAAATCCAGTTTCAATGACATATGGCCATCTTCACAGTAATGTACCGTCTCACAGTTTTAACTTTGCTGATTGTGTTATTTCAGGTCAGATCCTGTGCATCCCACTCCTTGCTTTCCTTGAGCATCAATTTCCTTAGCCTGGCAGGCGTGCAATAATAGTCACCGCAAAGGCAGGCAGTATGGAGGCCACGGGTTATATTTTCAAGACTAAAGGTATGTAGACATTAGCCAGCCTGAACCAGTAGTTCTTGAGCCAAGAATGCTAGTCAGTCCAGAGAATCACATCTAGCTTGTCACTTAGGAGCTGCATGACATGGACTGCGCTGCCTGAAGGGCCTTCAAGCACCAGCAAATGGTTGTGGTGGCCAGCTTGATGGAATGGAGACGCAGCAAAATATGACCAAATATGAATAACAAGAAATTTATGAATGATAACATATCAAATAACTAGACAGATAGCAATCGCAGGAAGCCCCAGTGCTCTACAGAGTTAGGTGGATGTACAGCTATTCTTATACAATAAACCCCTCACCCCGTACCTTGCGCAATCTTATGTCCCCGATGAAATAAACGTAATTTAACTTTGGACCGCCTGTTGACCGATGGAGGGAAACAAAAGTGCCGCAAACATGCTAGCGCACTTGGCCATACGAGTCCTTCCGGGCGGAATGAATTTATGCATTTATTGACCACCATTGCCACCCCTGTTCACACTGGGAATTTTGCATGCCCTCGTTCGTCGTTTCATGGTGGACCAAAATGGAAGATAAATCTTCAGTGCTGGCGACTACTCTTTCGTCAGATCCAAGCCACGGACAACTCTCCTGCAAAGGTGACAAAACATGTCAGCCTCCTCATATTTCGATTGATGTCTCAGCCCGACAACTGTCGCCGCCTGACGACTCAGCGGGACATCTCTATGAATTCCACTACTTCGCAAAGCTACCGGCGGAAGTCCGAAGCAAGATTTGGAACCTGGCGTTCTCTCTATCTTCACCTCGAATATACATTCCGTACGCACGCCGAATAGAAGGAAGTGGCAGGCAGTATCCTCACTATCGACATGACTTGCCGGGACTTATGATCTTGAGCAAAGAAGTCAGGGAAATCGTCATCAGAAATCGAAAACTTTCTCTCATATCGGGCAGGTATGATATCTGTAACTTGAAATATGTCGACCGCATATATGGCTGGGTGGATCCAAAACGCGACTTACTCTATATCGATCTTCATCGGCGCATCCAAGGTCATTTTTATGATATCGAAAACGTCTTTGAAACTGTAATTCTCTGTCCAAAGAACATCGGGAATGCGCTTCATTTAGAGGAACTGTCTCGTTGGTCTACAACACTATCTCATTTTTATTCCTCAAAATCGGGCCCATCATATTTATCGAAGGTCAAAGAACTACAACTCGTTTGCCGATCATACAACCTTCCAATCTCTAGGTTTTCGGTCGGATCACAGAACGACTTTTTGGTCTTAGACCTTGATAAGGAGAATGATGTAGATTGGCTTTTAGCATTACGGGACCGTTTTCCAAAGTGCGATATTCCTTGGGATGTTATTGAGAATGATTTTTGTCGAGAAAGAAACCTTGATTGGCAACTTGGAGTACTTAACGATTGGGGTACAGGAGTAGAGGAGTTCGAGGGTCAATATCATATTCGCCTTGGCGATGCCGACAGCAAAGACGTGCGACATCTTTCTCTGCCAACGGATGTGCAAGTGGATGTTTTGGATATTGTCAATGATACTTGGGTTGATCCAGATGGTATATCGGATAGTTTACATGGCTATTTTTGGTTCATGATGCCATGGGTGGATTATGCGACTTTGGTCAGTCAAATTTGGGCCTCATCCATCGGCGTAGCAACATTTCCCGAGGTACGACGGGTTGTACAATTTCAACTGGAAGGTTAAGGCACACGATTGACAGCTTCAGGACTGAAAAAACGTATGCAGTTTTAGATGAGTTTCGCAAAGCTGCCCTCAAGTCAATTGATCACATTAGGACCTAAATCCGATCTGAACTCACAATTTGCCTTGTGCATCTGATATGGTTTATATATGATTAATGTATGATATATCATACCATATGCGAAGCTATCTTTAGCCTTGGGGCCTTGTCCTTAGGCTCTGACTAGTCCTGTTGCTGCTTCATAGCCTCCCTAGACTAATACACCCTCCCATAACCCAGCTCCTCAGTAGTTGGACCGACTCAATGCTCAATCCAAGCAGAGAATGCCGCTTTAAGGTGAATGTAGGCTTCATTAGACCAAATGCCCTCTCACCCGGCTGCCAAGCACGGAATAGCAAGGACATCCTACGCAAGTCTTCTCAAACGTAGGAAGAGTTCTCTTAATTAATTTACCACCAAATAGGATTATCCGCACGCTCTGGTCCAAGCTTATAATATCATTCAAGCTCACTGCCTGTTACTGAGGGCTTTGGCAATAAGGCTTGAGCAAGGCATTCAGAACACGGCAAAGTCTATATATAATACTCCTAATAAAAGGAAAATATAAGCAGATATAGTGTTAAGATTTTAACTTTGGTAATAGTAGTCTATGTCGTAGTGTACTGCTCTAACTCTGATTATCCAAAGTAGAGAAGCTTTAACATAATTACAGACTCCAGAAGCCGTTCTTTACTACACTCAATATCAGCCCACGATAAGCTCGTGGGGCACTTACGTCTGTGTTTATATGTTAGTGTTAGCAGGTGATCAAAACTACCATATCTACAGCCTTGAGGTCTTGATAAATATGGTAACTATTGTGAAAATCACTTCAACTAGGCTCAATATGTGGAAAAGGAGTAATAGGTATTTATAGCTAGCTGGTATAGAGTTTCCTTACGTTTCGTTAGTCACTGTCAGTAAGCGTAGCTAATCTCGAAAGGAATAAGCCTGTTAAGTGATATATAAAGGCATGGTTACTGGTATCGCTCTATTGATGTGAGACTCAAGAGGATCTTATATGTAAACCAAAATCTACTCTGCTTAAAATAGTCCTAAAGATGCGTAAATGAAATAATTTAATAAATAACAGAAGTGCTGTGGCCCTACTCGCCAGTTTCTAGGCATCCATAGTGTTGCAAATAGACATACGGAAACAAGCCAACGTTGACAGTCCAAAAATCAAGTATTGGCACAGGTCTGGATTACGTGTTGTTGGAAGGATTGCGGTATGAGCGAAGCTAGCCTCGAATATCCACCAATCCTTAACGGAAACGTCCCCTAGGATGGTCTTTTAGTGGTGGATGCCTTTTAGAATATCTTAACTGTAGTCGAGAAATGATACGGAATGGTGACTCCTGGGCCGAAGCCACCCTGCAGCAACTCTGAGCCTCGCAGCTGAAGTGCTTTTTCGGGTTACGGACGGATCGAACTTGCTTTTATTTGACGCTTATTTTTTAGTTTTGCATAGTGTAAGCCGCATGCGTTACACAGTGTCCTCATTCCATTAGGTCCGCGGCGCCATTCAGGGGTCTGGGTTCGGCCGCAATTTTGGCATCTGCCAGTTCGGGACGCACACTGTCAATACGTCAGTTTTTCGTTTCCCCCTCTAATAACTAGACTTACTGCCATTCGCTTCGTGGTTCCTGTCGTGCCAGATGAGGGCTGCATAGCATATACAGAAACAGTTGCATGGTTCTCCTCCTTCATCTTGGCTCCTTCACTAGCCCGCTCATTCTGAATCGATGTTTGCACGAAGTCCTCAATATGTTCTAGAGAACGCTTGATGAGCTCCATGTTACTCAGCATGCTACTAAGTTCCCATTCCGTTGGCAGCCTTTCTAAGATCACGTGAGCCCCGTGCTGCTCACAAGCAATTCGATTATACTTTTCAGCATAGTTAAGAATGGTGCGGGATGAGGAACTAATCTAGACATAGTCAGTTCTGCCGACCTTGCATTGGGGCTCATGTTTACTCACTTGACTTAAAGAATCTCGGTAGCTCCAGCTCCTAGGGTGTCTCTTGACTGAGGCGTCATATTCGGCTTGAGTAGCAAAGTCGTGCCTGGGAGGGGTTGGATAAGGGGCAAGAGGTATCTGGCCAGGAGGCAGTGGGCGGGGTTGAGAGTGAATCGGATCTGGAGGGAGGGATGGCGGAGCAGAGTGAGAATGTACTTGTCTGAAAGGAGGATGAGTCTCCTGCGACTTCTGCTGCAGGGGTTGGCGATGCTGGGATAGAATCTCCGCCTTGACTGAGGGACTCTGGTAACAGTTAGATACAGGAAGAGGCGATTGAAGGCTGGCGAAAGGTGGCGGTAGAGGATCCGAGACGGCAGGTAGGGTATGTTGTCGGGGAGGGAAGGGTGAAGCTGAGAGCAGTTGATGCAATAATGGGTTCTTCCCTGTCTTAGGTAGCGTTCGATGGATAGATGCGAGAGGCAGGGAAAGTCCGGAGTCAGTCTGGACGCTGGAGAGAGGTGTATGAGTACAAGTGGCTGGCTTAGTGTCTCGAATGAACTCTGAGATGGAGGGCAGTGGCTGCCGGTTCGGAGACAGATGGTAGTCGGCATACTTTCGGGGTACAACAGAAGATGTCATACTGGAGACCTGAGCACCAGGCGATGAATGAGAATAGTCCGAATATAAACTGATTCTATTTTATAGTGAGTGGTCGGTGTAATAACGGTTCCTGTGACCGTAGTAAGAGGGTGCCTAAGAAAGTCTTCTGAAAAATTCGCTGGACATGGACTAGCGATATCGATGATACGAGTACCGGTATGGTTGAGCAAGACGGTTTGTCTAGAGATGGTACTGCTCTGTGAACGAACCAACTGTTATTATAGACATGACTGACACAATCAAGAGAGGATGTTGTGGCAGCTCTTATATTGGACTTCAGATCAGATAGATGTCACTGGCTAGGCATGACAACCAAATCGATCTGTCAACTACTAATGTGGCCTAGCTTTACAAGGGTCCGCGGAAATATTACGAGTTGAAGAAGCAAATAACCCACACGCGAGAAGCGCCTCTTCAGGCAGCAAGGATTTACCGCGGCTGATAATATTCAGTAAAGAAGGACCCCTCCCCGCTTAGTGGGGAAGAAAAAAGAAAAGAGAAACAAAGATCCCGGAGTACATAGCCGTCCCCCCGAAATTCTGCCTCTCTACCTATTTTCCATTTCGTCATCATGTCGTTACTTTATAAAATTGAGCAACATAATGCGCAGTCGGGAGTGAACAGACCAATAGTCAATATCTACGTGGCTCTGGCTGGCGTTAGCTTTGTTTCCTCGTCTCTGGTATGGAATTTCTTTATTAACCACTGCAATGCCCGGGCTACCATCTTGTCTGACTTTCTTTCTTTTTAGAATATGTGGCGCTTCTTTCTATTCCTTTTTGTGGCATAACATTTGGGAAAGCCAGTCACACCGCTCGTGTCATGTAATAATGTCAGCACACGTGGAGTACGTGGAGGGTTAAGTATTTTCATAAAGTATTTTCAACCAAATCCCCAAACAAATTCTTCGCAATTTGATTAATGAATGTGGATTAAATACTTAAAGGAACACAGGCATATAGTGCCTACAGCAATGAGATCTTTAACACCTGAAATTAAGCCAAGAATGGGGCATGTCATCGTGCCTTTCAATACAGAAAACGCATTCTCATATGAACATATTGTTCCCGACACCACTAGAGCTATCCCAGCCTTACGCGTCCATTGTCTTGTTTGACAATAAGTCATCTGTGGGTAAAGACGGGCTAGACAACTCCTCAAAGATGGCGCAGTTAACAGCTGGAATATCCCGGTTGCGAGCAACAAAAGATCCTAGCCTGGGGGAGGATGCCACCATCAGAAGTGTGTATGGATCGGGTTCCTCATTTACCCATATAGTTACGCGGAAACCCCGGCAGCAAAGTATGGTAATGTTCCCAGGCCGCGAGTCAACAACATCGATTTCCCCAACGGTTAGGACTATCGGCCTCAACTTAATCGGGATGGAATGCATGTAAGATTTGTGAAAGCGCTAGCAAGTGAGACTTGTCTCGGAACCAGGGCTATGGGACTTGACGCGCATTGACCCCCTCTTACCCGAATCCCTGGCCACTGGATCTCGTTTTGATCTCATCCCCGGGGAAAGGAATGTGAACTGCTAATGTAACGCTGGTACTGGCGCCACTCAGTCCCCCAACAGGAATATATTGGCTTTTAGTCTTGTGTTGGGCCAGCATCTATTGTATCTAGCCTGTGTAGACACACCATGAAGCCTGCACCTTCACCTTCACTCTCTACAGGGAACACTGTTGTTTTGGGAATAAGTATGAAATAAAATAAAATAAAAATCTGTTCTTGGCCAACGCAATAACAATCCTAATTCCCCGATAACGACTGTTTTAATTTTCACATCCGAGGTATGGGTAATAGATCCTCAAACAAGCTAAACTGCCTGCCAAATCTTACCAGTTAGCTTCTGCAAACCGTCTTTAATAGAACGATCTAGACTCGACATGGCTGTGACAAGGGTGGGGAAAAGGCGTGATGTATGTTCGAGAGGTAGTTGTACTCTGAGTTGGCCCAGTACTATCTCCATCCCCTAATCGTCGCTGAAAGCGGTGATTAACGGCTGCCAAAGTGTATGCTTCCGAATCGGACCTGACACGGTAACGTGATGTTAGGTTGCTCGCAGTAGTGGGAATAATTTCTTGCGGCGGCTAATAGCGCTGACAGAAGCATGTCATCTATGCCATCACATTGGTGGAGGTGTGCTCGGTGGCATTGCCTGAGTCATCCTTCAATTCTTATTCTTCAGAATAAGTCTGAATATGTGCCAGTGAGGAAAGTGAAATTGATAGGCGTGGGACCTCGCAAAACACATGATCGGCAGTGTTTACTTATCCCCCAGCTCCCTTTCGCACGAAACTCTGACCCAGGATAGGGCGTCTGCTCCTGGAACCCAGTTCCCGAAGAGTAAGGAGGGGGCTTGTATTTAATTTATTTCACTAGTCAGTTGTCCATAGTACTACTATTTTCACCTGCTGACTTTACTACAGAAAGCTGCATCGGCGCCAGGAGACAGCATGGGGTTGTGGAGAATTCGTAACCAGATCGAGATCGGCAGCCATTACTTAGGTAGTATGATTTGATGGGGGAGATCAGGGTCACGCCGAACATCAGGGTAGCTCCCTGTCAAATCCCAGTTTTCAGCCCGAGGCTGCACGATACCGCTTGGAAATTGCGTCAAAGCACGACGACACATGATATAGCTCAGCTGTACGTATTGCGGCCCATGAGCCATGTAACCCTGGTGGAGCCCAGAATCTCGGGGAGGCGGGGTACAGGCTTGTGCTTCGAGTTGGTTGGATTCAGGGGTTTGGGTCAAAATGGGGACATGGTGGAAATGAGCTTAGGTCAGGAAGGGCAATAGAGTGGGAACAGACAACAAGCCGCTTTCTTCTGTTACAGACGAAAATTACGTGCATTTCGCGTCATGGTTTATCATGGTCCGACATAGCGCCGAATGGATGCCTGCAGATGATCAATCATCTTCACACCTCGCTCGGCCGCCCTGACCATGGGTCATACGTAATACTGTATTGGGTTAAATCGGTGTGCCCTATCTGCACCCTGAGGCCTTAGAAAGTCCAGATCGCTACGCTAGCGGCTAGATGCCTGACCCCAACCCTGCCTCCTCTTCAGGGTTTGCTCTGAGTATAGACATTCTACCGCTAGAACGAGGCGTTGGTCAGACGAGCCGGAGGTTGTGGTTGGGAAACGCACCAGATTGATCTCATTATTAGCCCGAGTGTGAATTCACGTCCCCTGGACCCCTACTTGATAAACCCTTCAATTGGAGTCGCAACGCAACGCTCTATTGAAATGCCTGTGCCCGCACATAGAGAATGTAAACCTTTTCCCTCTTGACCTCCCCATGGGCTTGGGTCTATTACATGCTCCGTTAAGCTGGTATTTAGAGTCGTTCGATCGACATCGATATCTTTTTCGACGGTATAAACTAAATTATACATAGCCACACACTAGGGTCGGAGATTGCATTCTTCCCGAATCCCTTGGAACTAACTTCCTAATTCTCTGACTGGCTATTTTGCTGGTACAGCCACTTTATCCACTTATCTGAAACTTGAACTTAGACAGGAAAGCAATTTATATCAGCTGCGATTCTCAGCAGCTTATCTAATCCAGACCAACTGAAAAATACATCTCTTAACATACCTATAAAGTTGAGCAGCTATTCTCCGTGTATAAGTTACCCTGTATTAGCTACTTGCAAGAGACAGGGATTATATTACTCCTGGATTTATAATAAATAATAGCTATTATAGTTAAACTACTTTAAGATACTTATAAAAAAATTATATTAATAGCTTATTGGCTTTAAACTTATATTATATTATAATTTTAAATAGCTTTAACTTAGTAAATTATACTTTAGCTATTTAAATAAGTTAAAATTATTAATATATTTTTCTTTTTTTAAAGTTAAAATACCTATTTAATAATATATAAAGTAAAGCTAAGGTATTAAAGTAAAATAATAAAATAAGATATTTATTTTTAATATAATATAATATAAGGTATTATATATTATATTAAAAAATATAATAACCTTAATATTAAGTCTTAGTAAATTATATAACTACTGCCTAAAACCTTAAGATCTAATTAAATAAGTAGCCTTAATTTATAAGTATAAAGAAGATATTTTCCTTATTTTTAAAAGGCTAAATACCCTTTTTATTATTACCTTATTAAGGTAATTATTACTAAGGCTTTAATATTAAAAGGCTATATTAAAATAAGCTAAAAACCTTAAT